GGGTATGCTTGGTACAAAGCATAAAAAATTATGCTTGGTAGTGAGGTGGCATAATCCCCTCTACTTATTCAAATGGTTGCATATCCCCATGAACTTCTCAACCCATGTGAATGTGGTCCCCCATTTAAATGAGTGGAGGGGATTGTGTCACCTCACTACCAAGCACAAAATTTGTGTTTGGTACCAAGCATACCCATATTTCTCATATATATATATATATATATATAAATGAGTGGAGGGGATTGTGTCACCTCACTACCAAGCACAAAATTTGTGTTTGGTACCAAGCATACCCATATTTCTCATATTATATATATATATATATATGAGAAATATGGGTATGCTTGGTATCAAGCATAAAAAGTTATGCTTGGTAGTGAGGTGTCACATCTCCCTCCACTCATTCAAATGTGGGACTATATTCACATGGGTAATAAGTGGATGGGGATATGACAAATCACTACCAAGTACAAAATTTGGGGTGAACCCGTCGTGTTTTGGCCCTTCATCCACTCACCGCAATTTTAACGGTCTCGAATGAATAGAACTTTTTACACGGCTCAACGAAGGGTCAAAACACGACGGGTTCACCCTAAAATTGATGTGTTTGGGTTTAAGAACGTGTAGATTATATACTATATATATATATATATATCGGTATATATTATATTATATATATAATATATGATATATAAATATAGGGAAAGTGTTCCTAAGGTGACACCTTAGGCATAATACTCTATAGACGGCGGCCTACAAATTATGATTGAAGCTATAATTGTTTGGATGATTCGGGCTTTGTTGAATTGGATTCACATATTCTAAAAAACCCCAACACATGCAAGTTTGGGGTGAACCCGGTTTGTCGTTTTGACCATTCATCCACTTGTATAATTCTTTAACGGTTTCGAATGAATTAGAAACTTTTCACATGGGCTCGACGGCAGAGTCAAACGACGACTAGATCCCAAACTTGGTGTGTTGGAGTTTTTTATAGCAATATTAGATCAAGTTTAACGTAGGGATATCCACAATGTAACTCAATGCAAATGTTGATTTTATTAGTCAGTTCTTAGATGATTATCTTAAGGCGTCACCTTAGAAAACTTATTCCATTATTATAGTATATATAGTATATACTAACTATATAATTATATATATATATATATATATATATATTTATTGAGTGATTGATCTAAGGCGTCACCTTAGAAAACACTTTTCCATATATATCATATTATATATATATATATCGTATTATATACTATATATATATATATTAATATATATAATAATATATATATATATATATACGTATTAGTATATATATACTATATATATATATATAATATTATATATATTATATAGGTATGGGCTTCGGTACCAAGGAAAAAATTGTTGGCTTGGTAGTGGTGTCCACATCCCCCCTTCACTCATTCAAATATGAGACCACATCTCATATGAGTACGTGAGTGGGATGATGATGTGACACATCACTACCAAGCACAAAAATTAATATGGTATGCTTAGGTACCAAGGCACAAAAATTATGCCTTGGTAGTGATGTGTACATCCCCCTTTAAATATGGGACCCACATTAGAATGGGTTTTTGTGAGTGGATGAGGATGTTGACACATCACTATCAAGCACAAATTTGTGCTCGGTATAAGCATTCCTATTTTTTCACACACAACAACACACACACACAACACACACAACACACACACACACAACAATACTATAATTATATATATATTATTATATATATATTATATATATATTAGTATATATATTATATTATATATTATATATATATATGATATATAATATATATATATATAATTATATATAGTATTATATACTATATATATATATATATATATATATATATATATATATATATTATATATATTATATATATATATATATATATATATCTTCTATTAAAATGTTACCTTTGCACATGTCACTTGGCAAATTCACATTTTTTTAATTTCCTAAATAAAAATTAAATTCCTCTTTACGTGAGAACCACCTCCTAAACATTTAAACGTTATTACCCATCTCTTCAATTCCCAATATTAGCCTTTCACCCACCTTCTCACACCTTCCATTAAAACTTCAGCTCTAATTAATTCACCCTAAATTCGACCACAGATTTTTTCCCTTTCTTCATTTCCCAAAAAAGCCTCTTCGTGTTCGTCTATTAGAGAAATCGTGCTTCGCCTCTTCGTCTTCGTCGAGCACAGAATTCGTGCTCCTCCTTGAGAACCCAGTCGTCTTCAGTTTTGATTGTGATCAGAATTCGTGCTCCGCCCAGAAATTTCAAAAGTAAACCCCTCGAGCTTCTTACCCTGAAACCCTAAATCAATGGTCGCTGCTCTTTCCTCTTCATTTCTCGCCTCTCCAACATCCACGAAAATTTCTAGAACCCTGCCCTCTCAGTTCTACAGCCCCCTCCCTCTCCCCTCCTCTGTGCCTCTCTCTTCGTCGCAGTCGATTTCTAGGTATAATTTTTGCCTGCGATTTGTTCACTGAAATAAGGTCATTTTTGTGTGTGTGATGAATTCTTGTGATTTACTTGAGTTTTAGGAAAATATATAAGGTTAGGGCTGCGAGCTTGAAGGAGAATGATGAGGAGGTGATAACTGAGGATTCTTTTCGAGCGAGGACTCCTCTTGATAATGAGAGGAAAGAGATGGACGCTGAGCAATCGGAGCCGGTGGCGGTGGAGAGATGAGTTATTAAGTTTGAGCAGTCTGTTAATGTTCTTCTCATTGTAAGTTTAATTTTTATTTCTTTTTCCTGTTTTTTTTGTCGTGGATGGTGGTTTCGATCTATCGCTGATGATAATGTGATATGTTATACTAATATAAGACAATTAGATGGAGTCTACGGAATTCTTCTCCTTGACAACGAATATTCCAACCCCTCGAGATGTGAATGAGCTCTCTTGTGGGTCTCAACTGTTATTTTTATTTTCGGGCGGCTTGCTCGAGGGGTTCTAATTTTGTCGGTAAAAATCCTTTAAAAAAATCATATTTTGAGGAAATCATTTTTAATTGGATACCTTATATCTAATTTTCAGAAAATTTAGGGGGAAAATGTTAGATGTGTTAAAGTGAAGAAAAACTCATTAAATACCTTGGGCTCTTTTTTAAAAAAATTAACTGAACATTTTTTTATCTTTAACAAACCATTATAGGCTATATACGTTTCGCTCATGTGTTAGAACTACAAGTAGATATAGTAGTTTAATATATTTTGTCTTGAAAGCTTTATTTTTTTTCCTTTGCTTTTTTAGCTATGTAATAATAAATGTAATTGACTCAATTATTATACACTAAATATCCTGAAATTTGAAAATTCATATAAGATAGTAAACTTTTACTAATTAGAAATTAGTATATATCTTGCAATATCTTATTTTATGTAAGCAAATATGTGCACAAATGCCAATTGGAATTACTATGCGGAAAGTACTAATTTCATGATACGTATAAAATCGATAATGCAATTGCTAAAGGAAAATTTTATGCTTATAGGCTATAATATTTCTGAATAACGTTTTTACACATTTATATTTTTCAAACTATATATGATCTTAAACTAATTCAAGTTTTTAAAACTTTCTAATTTTCTAAACTATATATGCAACTTAAGTTGTATCATTTCTGACTACTTATATATTATTACTGTTTTATTTTGCATTCTTTAATTACATTAATTTTTATATATTAAATAAATTTGTGCATCACATGGGCTTGAAACTAGTATATATATATATAAACCCGTGATCAGTACGTGAATTAAGGCCGACACAAGCTTTCATCACGGCGGATAAAAGCAGGTAACTGGACCCTTCCATTCCATCACGGACAAAAACCACTTCAAAAGGAGAGCGCCAACAAAAGCTGCTCATTAATGCAAAAAAGACATGGGAGAAATAATATTAAAAACTCTTAAAGAAAGCAGTTTTTAAAATATTATCGCTTATTAGAGGACAAACATTATATTTATTGGAATTTGAATCCTTCCAAAATAAAAAATTAACAATCGTTGGTTGTGTAGTGGCCCTAGTGGGTGTCAAATATTCATTCTAAATTTAGCATTGTCATATTATCATGAATTATGTATTTATAATTTACGATAAATTGTGATTATCCACTAAGGACCCGTTTGGTTGTTTTCTATAATTATAAGGAAACACGTTTTCCTTAAATTTTCATATTTCCTTCGCATTCAGAAAAATATTTTTTATATTTGTTTCGCTAAAAAAAATGTGGCATAAGAAATTTTAAACATTTTTCTAAGTTTTATTCAACTTGAAAAAAGTAAAAAGTAAGTGTTGTGGTACCATGGTTGGTTTACCACTCATATAGGAAAAAGTGAGTTGAGTTTTTATTTAATTTTGATTCATTTTTAAAAAACAATCAGAGTTGTGAGAGGGGAAATTGACTTTTTATTTTTTGTAACGTGGCACGCGGTTTCCTCCACAGATTTTCTTTTACTTTTGGCAAATCAAACATCAGAAAATGAGGGATTCACTGGTAGAAAATAAGGTATCGTGGACGGAAAATTATGTCTATGAAAGTCAAATTTCCATCTAAGAAAACTATCCCAGACGGAATTCCGTCTAAGATGTTCGTTTAGGAAGGTTCGATCTAGGACGCAGTATTCTAGACGAATTTCCGTCTAGAAAAACATCCTAGACGGATAATCCTAAACAGAAAAAAAATTCGTTTAGGAAGTTTCTAAGACGGAATGTCCGTCTGCGATGAATTAAAGAATCCAGACGGAAACATCGCCAACGAAAATCCGTTTAGGAAGTATCCTAGACGAAATTTCATCCTAGACGGATTTTCATTTAGGAAGCATCCTAGACAAAATGTTACAGTGTTTTTTAAAGGAATCTACTTTGCGCATTGAAGAATTAAGCAAAAAAAATTAGATCAATTTTGCAAGTAAGATAATCGAGTTTTTAACTAATCTAATAATCTATGTTCACAAAATGTATCCATCATTTTACAACACAGCAAAAACATTGAGTTACAAAGTGAGTAACAACAAAAAATATGGTTCTCTCTCGTTATTAACAAGCAGGTACTACAAAAATTTGCTTTTATGAAGAGACTGATTCCTTTAGACATGATGATCTCATGATGACGGATTCCATATTGGCAAGCTTCCTCTTCTGCCATCGGATCAATAACTAGTTTCGCTTCGAAACATGACTGTAAAAAGAAAGGGTTAAGTATAGCTGAAATGAATACGAAAAATGTCGATAATATTCAATTAATGAGATACCCAAAAATGTAACATAGTATAAATGTGTAATAGTGATCATACCACTGAGACAGCAGAAACGAGGTCATACATCATAATTCCTGAGATACCTAAATATGTAAACAGTTAATATATTTTAAAAACAAAGAAGCAAATGCACAACATTCAAGTGACTACCAATGAAGATAAGCAAACTTTCTAGTTTCAAACAATTTAACCATAAATTATGAAAAACAAATAAATTGTAACGGAGCAACTCACACTAAATTTAACAAAAGTGCTAACCATTCCATAAACGTTTGTTGTCTTAGGTGAAGCCCCAGCTGAAAGAAGCTAATGCACAACATTCAAATGTTCTCCTCTTGCCGCATGATGGAGAGGCTGAACACATGAAAGGAAAAACAAAAACTTAGATCGGCGAGTACTAAGTAATGACAAATTAATGAAAAATAGATCTGAAAATTTCCATCTCTACCAAAAAATTAGCTAATGGGGGTATCCACACAATGCCATTGCCTCATAAATATTGCATTATCAAGATACTGGACATATGTTTATTTATCGCTTTCTAGTGATACATAAATCTATGTTTATTCGCAAAATGTGGAGTTGAAGCAAATAACCATATTAATTCCGATGATTCAATACAACATACATTAAACTGAATTTTCGACAATCATGTCCCATATTTCTACGTAATAAGACTAAAGGTTTTTATGGCCAAATATTACCCTCACATCAAAAAGTTTGTTATTACAGAAATTGGAGCAATACTTGATGAACTGAGGAAGGATTATTACCTGCAATTATCCATTTGCTATGTGAATTACCACCTGAAATGTCAAACAAGTTAAGATTTTAGAACATGGTCAAATTGATCTATTAAAGGAACGCCACATTTCAGAATAAACGAAACAAAATTCTCAGTTTCATCAATATCTATCAAACTACTAACACAACCGAGCTAACTATTTACTTGGATCAATTCCTCGGCAATGGCCAATACAATTCCCAGATACAATCTGGCAATCGAAGCAATCAGGAAAGGAAGTCCACTTCCGGGAAAACCCTGCAGATATCAGAGAAACTCCACCACCATCATCGTCATCAAAGGCGAGTCTCCAGTCAAACCAAAGATCGCTAGGAGTCGCACAATAACCAGGAAGTAATCCATCATCACTCTGATCCCCATAACCAAGACTGTAATCTTCGCAAAAACTTAAATTATACAACTCTTTAAACACATAACTACAGTCTTTGCAAAAACTTAAATTATACAACTCTTTAAACACATAACTGTCAAAATCATATCCATTTGGCTCGCAGTTGAATAAATCCTTGGCTAGAGCTCAAATTTTCAGTAACATTTGACACATTGAAACTTGTTACGTACCGGAGACTTGAAATCATAGAGGAAGATATGTTATGAATTATTGAGGAGGAGAGTACCAATAAGGAGTCAGTGGTAGTGAAAACATAAAAAAAATCAATGGAATGTTTAAAAGATTGTATGGATAATTAATTTCCAAAGATAAGACTATTGAGTGTGTGAATGCCTTTTTCTTGGTGTGAATAAATGTTTCTTTCAGTCATGGTCATCATGATCTTCAAGAAAGTAAAAGGGTGCAAAAACATCATAGCACCTACTGCAACTATACTACAGCATACATAAACCTTCATTAATAAAGACAAAACATTTACCAAAACCATTATGCAAACCTTAAGACCTGAAGAGGCTTCAGCTGCAGTATCCTTCATCACTCCAGCAACAGCAAAGGCAACAAGAAAAGGAATCGGAACAAGGACCAGTTTCCTCTCAAGGGCACAATAAGACATCTCGCTCAGCTGCGACAAAGCCAAGACCGGCAACGAAAGGTACTGCCCAACTTCAACAGCGAGATCCAATACAATCCCCATCAACTTCCAAAGGGTTTTGCTCCACAGAAAGCTCTTCACTGGCTGCCGCAAATTGTCGAACAGTGTTAGGATATGTGAAGCCTAACTATCAGGCATGCCCTATACTTCAGAAGAGAGGAGAAACAAAGTTGGAACAGGAGGAACATGATCGACGACGACGAAGTTCAAGCAAAACGACGAAGAAGTGATTTGGCAGTATCGCGGTCGACCGGCCATGGCACGGCGGTCGACCGGCGACGCTGTTTTGTTCTGTTTCCTTCTTTACTTGTTAAACCCTTAAGTCTATAAAAGGGTTGATTAGGGCATGATGTAATTAAGACGAAAATAGTGAAATTTTTTTCTGCGGCGGCCGTGGACGTAGTTTCTCACATTGAGAAGCGAACCACGTAAATCTTGTGTGTTTGAGATTGTTTGATTTTCTCTCTTCTCTCCTAAATCTCTATTTCCAAATCGCATCAGGGGGGTTGTGCATCCCCAACAAGTGGTATCAGAGCGACCAGGTTCGGCGCGAGCGATTTGAGGTCAGAGACAATGGGATCTGAGAAGGAAACATCCAAGATTGAGAAGTTTGATGGAACAAACTTCGGGTTCTGGAAGATGCAGATGGAGGACTACCTCTATCAGAAGGATTTATACCTACCATTGGGAGAGAAGCCGACGGATATGAAGGATGCGGATTGGAAGCTATTGGATTGAAAGGCCCTTGGAGCGATCAGGTTGACCTTGTCTAAATCAGTAGCGTTCAACATCAAGAATCAGAATACGACGGCGGATCTCATGGCGGCGTTGTCCAGTATGTATGAGCAGCCCTCTGCGGCGAATAAGGTACATCTCATTAAAAAGTTGTTTAATTTGAGGATGTCCGAGAGCCAGAAATTCAAGGAACACCTGAACGAGTTTAACGAGATCACGGATCAACTAAACTCGGTCAATATTCAGTTTGACGATGAAATCCAAGCCCTCTTGATACTTGGTCAATTGCCCGACAGTTGGAAGGGTACCGTTATCTCGATCAGCGGATCATGTGGCAAATCAAAACTGAAGTTTTCAGAGGTGGTGGACATGATTATGACTGAGGAGATTAGAAGACAAGAGGAAGGAATTTCTAATTCAGGGTCGGCGTTGAAATTTGAGAGCAGAGCCAGAAACAGAAACAAAAATAGAGGGAATATCCGTGGAAGACCTAATTCGAGGAAAGACAGATCAAAGTCCAGAAACTGCAAGAGCAAGAAAGGGATCGATTGATGGAATTGTGGCAAGTTTGGCCACTATGAGAATCAGTGCCGAGAACCCAAGAAGGACAAGGAGAACAAGACTGAAGCGAACGTGGCCTCAGGAGAATCAGATGATGCCCTAATCTGTTCATTGGAGAGCAAAACTGAATCGTGGGTGCTGGATTCAGGTGCTTCGTTTCATGCTACCTCAAATAGAGATTTATTTGAGAACTATGTTTCAGGAAACCTAGAAAAAGTCTACATTGGTGATGATCAGCCCTGTGATATTGTTGGCAAAGGAGTCGTGCAGATCAAGCTCAATGGGTCTATATGGAAGCTGAGCGATGTGAGACATGTTCCTAGCTTGAGGAAAAATCTGATCTCCATAGGACAATTGGCGAAAGAGGGATATGTAACAACCTTCGCATGTGATACGTGGAAGGTTACAAAGGGGTCCATGGTTGTTGCCCGTGGTACGAAGACAGGTTCTCTCTATATGACGATAGATGCACGTGGTTCTATTGCAGTGGCTGAAAGTAAGGAAGATCCAAATTTGTGGCACCAGAGGCTAGGTCACATGAGTAGCAAAGGCCTAAAGGTTATGCAGTCGAACGGGAAGCTACCAGGTTTGAGATCAGCTGATATTGACTTATGTGAAAGTTGTATACTTGGGAAACAAAAGAGAATAAGCTTCAAAAGGGTTGGCAGAACCCCTAAGGAAGAGAAGCTTGAGTTAGTTCACACAGATGTGTGGGGTCCAGCATCAGTTCCATCCACCGGCGGAAGGTTATATTTTGTGACCTTCATAGATGATCACTCGAGGAAGACTTGGGTCTATTTCATGAAACACAAATCAGAAGTGTTTGAAGTCTTCAAGAGATGGAAGGCTATGGTTGAGAACGAGACCGGTTTGAAGATCAAGAAGCTTCGTTCTGACAACGGCGGCGAGTATGAAGACTCAGAGTTCAAGAAGTTCTGTTATGACAGCGGCATTAGATTAGAGAGGACAGTGCCATGCACACCCCAGCAGAACGGCGTAGCAGAACGTATGAACAGAACTTTGACTGAGAGAGCCAGAAGTATGCGGTTACAAGCAGGTTTTCCAAAGCAATTCTGGGCAGAAGCAGTCAACACAGCTGCCTTCTTAATCAACCGGGGACCATCAGTACCTTTGGAGCACAAAATACCTGAAGAAGTATGGAGTGGAAAGCAGGTAAACCTTTCTCACCTGAGAGTATTTGGTTGTGTTTCTTATGTTCATCTGAGTGATCATGCAAGAAACAAACTTGATCCTAAGTCTTTGAAATGTTTCTTTGTTGGCTATGGCGGTGATGAGTTTGGCTACAAATTTTGGGATGAGCAGAACAAGAAAATCATCAGAAGCAGGGATGTGGTCTTTAACGAATCAGTCCTCTACAAAGACTGTGATGCAGTTCAGCCCACTAGCTCGATGCAGAGTGATCCTACATATTTCGAGTTAGATGATGCCTCAGGTGGAGACAATCCCGAAGCTAGTTCTGATGAAGAAGAAGAGATGATGGATGAGACCACTTCAGAGGGGGCAGATGAAGATGGAGAGCTAGTTTCGCCCGTCAGAGAGTTAAGGCGGTCAGCTAGAGTCCCCAAGCCTAATTCAAAGTATCCATCACTACAGCCCAGAGCTCATCTCAACTATCTATTGTTGAGTGACGGTGGAGAGCCAGAGAGCTATGCTGAAGCCCTTCGAAGGGATGATGCGAGCAAGTGGGAGCTCGCCATGAAAGATGAAATAAAATCCTTGAACACCAACAAGACATGGGAACTTGCGAAGCTACCAACGGGGAAAAAGGCCTTGAGCAATAAATGGGTGTACAGAATCAAAGAGGAACATGATGGTTCCAAAAGATACAATGCTAGATTGGTGGTCAAAGGATTTCAGCAGAGAGAAGGAGTTGATTACACAGAGATCTTCTCTCCAGTAGTCAAACTGACTACCATCAGAACAGTCCTGAGTATTGTTGCAGCTGAAGATCTACATCTCGAGCAGCTGGATGTGAAGACAGCTTTCCTCCACGGTGACCTAGAGGAAGAGATATATATGCAGCAGCCAGAGGGGTTTTCTCAGAAGGGAAAAGAGAGGATGGTATGCAGATTGAAGAAGAGCTTGTACGGCCTGAAACAAGCTCCAAGGCAATGGTACAAAAAGTTTGATGGATTCATGCACAGGAACGGTTATTCTAGGTGCAATGCTGATCATTGTTGTTTTGTCAAAGAGTTTGACAAGAGTTACATCATCCTACTCCTATATGTCGACGACATGCTAGTAGCCGGTTCAGATATGACAGAGATCAAGAAACTGAAGAAGCAGCTGTCAAGTGAGTTCGACATGAAGGATCTAGGCGCAGCAAAACAGATATTGGGAATGAAGATCAGTAAAGATAAACTCTTGGGCACACTGCGGCTATCCCAGGCTGAGTATATTAGACGGGTGCTTGAGAGATTCGGGATGAGTGGTGCTAAGGCCGTTAGCACACCATTAGCTAGTCATTTCAGATTGACTAAGGAGCAGTGCCCCGAGACTGATGAAGAGAAAGAATACATGGCTAAGGTTCCATATGCTTCAGCCATTGGAAGCTTTATGTACGCCATAGTATGTACGAGACCCGACATTGTCCATGCAGTGGGAGCAGTGAGCAGATTTATGTCAGATCCAGGAGAGCAGCACTGAGAAGCAGTAAAGTGGATTCTAAGATACCTGCGAGGTACTATAGAAGATTGCTTATGCTTCAGGAGAGGCAAGTTAGTCCTGCAGGGTTTTGTTGATGCAGACTATGCTGGTGAGATAGACCAGAGAAGGAGCACTACAGGATATGTATTCACTTTGGGCTCTACAGCTATTAGTTGGATTTCTCAGTTGCAGAAGATCGTTGCTTTATCAACGACAGAGGCTGAATATGTTGCGGTAACAGAGGCAAGCAAGGAGATGATATGGTTACATGGTTTCTTGGAAGAGCTGGGACAGAAGAGTGAGAAGAGTGTCTTACATTGTGATAGCCAGAGTGCAATTCACTTGGCGAAGAATCCCGCTTTTCATGCAAGGACCAAACACATACAGGTCCGCTACCACTTCATAAGATCAGCGTTGGACGAGGACATGTTGGAACTTGTGAAGATTCAAGGAAGCAAGAACCCAGCAGATATGCTTACTAAGGTTGTCACCACAGAGAAACTGAAGTTATGTTCAACTTCAGTGGGCCTCAGTACTTGATGATAGGAGGCCGTCGCCGCAGAGAGAGCTGAAAGAGCTTGATAGTTAGTCTCCAAGTGGGAGATTGTTAGGATATGTGAAGCCTAACTATCAGGCATGCCCTATACTTCAGAAGAGAGGAGGAACAAAGTTGGAACAGGAGGAACATGATCGACGACGACGAAGTTCAAGCAAAACGACGAAGAAGTGATTTGGCAGTATCGCGGTCGACCGACCATGGCGCGGCGATTGACCGCATCGCGGTCGACCGCCTGTGGCGCTGCGGTCGACCGCTCAAAGTCCAGAGAGCCATCCTGAGTTTTGCCTTCGTCGCGGTCGACCGAACATGTCGCTGCGGTCGACCGGCAAAAGTCCAGAGAGCTCGATCAGGAATAGGATTCGTCGCGGTCGACCGGATTTGGTGCGGCGGTCGACCGGAGTCGGGTTTTGGCCCAGATTCGGAATTTAACCTGTTTTGTTCTGTTTCCTTTTTTATTGGTTTAACCCTTAAATCTATAAAAGGGCTGATTAGGGCATGATGTATTAAGACGAAAAATAGTGAAATTTTTCTCCTGCGGCGGCCGTGGACGTAGTTTCTCACATTGAGAAGCGAACCA